AAAGCTTGGAAAATGTATAAACTTACAATAAAATAGAATTTTGCAAAATTTCATGTGTGAGCTTGTCTCATTAACGTCATGGGAAAGCTTGACGTCATACGAATGGAAACTCTCAAAATGAAGAATATTCCGCTTCTTGTACGCTTCAACTTTAAATAATATCTCATTAAAATGAAGTTTTTGAGGCAGGTGTTTTTTTTTTCATTTTAGATTCTATTTCAGTAATCGAACATTAAGGATTTAAGAAAGTAAATATGGCGGCTTACTCGTTAGTTACGAAATGTCAATTGTGCATTTGGTGGTAAATAGTAGCCAATGAACCAAAAATTGTTAATCAAAAATTGCAAATGTTTTAGTTAAGAATTATAAGGATTAAACATATTCTTTCTATTGATGTGTAAACTGGGTCGCTGAATCACAAACTTTACATAAAACTTTTATTCAGTTAGTGAGTTAATCGCCCCAGTTTACACATTAATCACCTATAGAAAAAATGTATTTAATCCTATAATCACTGTTCTAATTAATGCACAATATATCTAAACGTAAGTTCTAACAAATATCGAAAAATCCCGTATTTTTTAAGAAATTCTTGAGACGTTTAGCCAGTCAATGCATCCGTTCTCACTCCATTTTGGGCGTTCATACGACTCCTTCTGATTTTGTGGTATTGCTTTATATAGTCTGATAAGATTTCTACAATTTGCTTATGCGTTATGATTTATGCTTTTTCATAATTAAAGGTGGTCTTTTGCCACTTATTGACCATTTGTACGAAATAATTTAACCCGAGATAAGTGGAAACATTTTGTTTAATATACAAATAAGGAGATGTGGTATGATTGCCAATGAAACAACTATCCACCACAGTTCAAATGAAGTAGCTGTAAGAAATTATAGGCAACTGTACGGCCTTCGACAATGAGAAAAACCCATACCGTATGGTCGGCTATAAAGTAAATTTTACTTCTTTACTTGTACTATTAATAAATTTTTGTAGCTTTCAGAAATACATACCAATCCAATATTCGCCTTGTGCATTACCAAAACCATTTTTGTAGTCAGTCCAGTTTCTAAAAAAATCAACGGTTCCATCGATTCTTCTGTGTATATCCTTGCAATGGACGGTGTAATTAATAGTACACATATATCATGTATATACACTTTTTCTAAAAGGTAACCAATTCAACACTGTATTAAGATCTTTGAATATTGTTTTAATGTGTAAAAATATTCATTTTGCTATAAGAAAATTGAAATCATACTAAATACAGAAATACTTTTGTTAAACACATATGCACTTTCACGGTACTAAAATCTGTCGATACCTTTATTTGGCATTGCGCAAGGTCATGTTTTTCTCTGATTGTTAATGACGTCTTTACACTAAATCCATTGGATGTGTGTACTGATTGATATTTTAGTCTTAGATACAGTTTTTTATTAGTTGTTATTGGCTGTGAACGAGCTGTCAGTTACTACGACTACTCTCAGATCTGTACTTTTTTGTTAGGGATTAGGGATTAATAAATACCTGGCACGTCCTGTCTGTGTTTATGTTTGATGTTTTTCTGCTTTGTATAGATCTGATGAGTTAAGTCTTTTTCAACTGATTTTTATAGTTTTTCTTATGTTGTACTGTTGCACCGCTGTCCTAGGTTAGAGGAGGGTTGAGCACTCACAAACATGTTCAACCCCGCCACATCCTTTATGTGCCTGTCCCAAGTCAGGAGCCTGTAGGTCAGTGGTTGTCGTTGGTTCATGTCTGTCATATTTGTTTTTCGTTAATTGTGTTGTTATAAATTAGGCCGTTAGTTTTCTCAAATTGAATTGTTTTATATTTTTCATGCGGGGGCCTTTTATAGCCGACTTTACGGTATGGGGTTTTTCTCATTGTTGAAGGCCGTGTGATTGCCTATAATTGCTAACATCCACTTTATTTGAACTTTGGTGAATAGTTGTCATATTGGCAATCATACCTCATCTTCTTTTTTTTATATTGTAAAAAAAAGAAGTTATAGAAAAAAAAGAAATGCAATAACTAAAAGGTAGATTGTCAGTTTTTATTTTGGATGATGCAATGACCAAAGCGGTGATATTCATTAATTATTAACTCGTCACTGTTATTGCGATATAGAACACGAATATAAATTTTGTGCATACGAATCGCTTTTCTGGATTAATCTTTATCAAGAACACTGAAACCCAAATATTTGTGAACCCAAGGATAAATATATAATTATCTAAAAACGTGAGGAGCAATATAATCGAAGGGATAAAGCACAATTCATCTAATATCAACTTTTTCTTAGGGTGTTAATCTAGTTTTCTTAATGATTTTTAATTTGACGATTGCAATAATAAGGTATTTAAATACATGAAACAATTTCAGCTTTAAGCAATTGTCATATTAAGCAATAACACGTACATTATTTTAAGGAATGTTCGGTATATTTCATTTTTTTAAAATTCTATCGATCAATGATTACGTTTGACTTTTGCAATCTCCAGAAGTACATCGCTATTTTCGCATGGCGGTAAATCATTTAAAATGTTGAAAAAACTAAAAAAAAACAATGATTTAAAGTCAAATTCCATGTCTTATGATCAAATACCAGTAATTATGGTGCAAGAACTCAATCCAGAAATCTTGAAATTTTATAATTCTACAATATCAGTACTTTTATCAGGATCTGCTTACCCTTACGGAGCACCTCAGTTCACCCCAATTTTATGTAAGGTTGGTGTTGCTCAGTTTTATTTTTTGTGTTTTGTGAACTGTTGTTTGTCTTTTCTTTTTTTTATCCATTACGTTGTAAGTTTATTTTCGACTTATGAGTTTGAAAGTCCCTTTGGTATCTTTCGTCTCTCTTTTAAAGCATCCTTGTGTATAATATATAAAGCTCACCGTCCAGATATTTCCATTCCCATCCACTTCACAGAATACAGAAATAAAAAATGTTGGTTTTCCAAATGGATAAATAGTATATACTCCACTTTTTAAGATCCTGTTAATGTCCGAACATTCTCTTGGAAATGATGAATCTAAAAACAAATAAACAAAATACAATAATTATCAAATTGGGTTTTAAAATTGATTGAAAAAAAAAATCAAAAGCTTGGAAAGGCAAGACGCAAATTACTAATCATCTGATTAAAAACAATAAGTACTTTATTAAAATAACTAATATTGCGAAAGAATAAACTTTAAGGTGATTTAATCTTAGTTTTAGCATAGTTGAAGAATTTAGAAACTGATAATTTATAATCACCATGTATCATTACAAAAATAAACCTGATAATAATTACTGGCAATTAATTGATTGACCCTTTACCAGCATCTATAACATTGCAGTAATATAAAAGTATTAAAAGCATCACTGATGAATCTAGTGTAGTCTATATGCACGTCTGACTTACCAAATTCTAAGCCATATATCTTTGATGAGTTTTTTACAACCACTTATTTTAATGCCACTGCTGGTGGGTAAAACGTACAATAACAAAAATACCACACTCCAAGGAAAATTCAAAACGGAAAGTCCCTTATCAAATGGCAAAATCAAAAGCTCAAATACATCAAACTAAAGGAAAACAAGAGTCATATTCCTGGCTTGATGTTTTGTCCCCCAGAGTATCACCACCCCAGTAGTCAGCATTCCGTGTTAATATGAAATCTTCTGCGAATTAATTATTTATGAAATATGGAACTATTTCAATCCTAACGTTTTCAACGACGTTTGCATTGTTTGACTTTCAATTCATTTTATCTTCTTATTTGATTTAAAGTCTTATGTTCAAATGTATACGTAACACGTGTCTGGCTTGCTAAAAAGACTGTTTCTTTGATGTGTTTTACATAATGATCTTAAATACACGGTAAATGATAAAACATGCTATTTCGGGTAAATACTTTTTCAGTATTTTAGAAATACTCTATAGAGCCATGAGTATGAATGTTGGAACATAATATTTGAAGAAGTACACTAGAGAAAAAAAAGCGGAAGTTCGTGGATGTCTGCCTTAACAATAGACGAACTAAAAGAATTGAGTTCCTACCACAAAAGATTAATGTTTATCATCATTCATATAGTACTAAATCATTGAAACAAAGTAGTGATGTGTTTAATTAGAACACGGACTGTCATTTGAATATTTAAAGCTACTTCGACAAATCTAAATATGAGTATCAGCAACGAAAGATTAAACATTTGGCATTGTAATATACAAGTAACGTGTGTATGTGCTTGTTTATTCTCAATTGGCTAGAAGTATAGGGGGAGGGTTAAGATCTCACAAAACATGTTTAAACCGACTGCATTTTTGCGCCTGTCCCAACTCAGGAACCCTTCGTTAGTCTTGTATGTTTTTTTTATAGTTTTGGTTCATCTATATTTTTCCGAGTTTAGTGTGACTTTTATTTTCTCTGAAATTGTACACATTTTTGTTTAGAGGCCAGGTAAAGTCCTCCTCCAGGTGCGGGTTTTTCTTGCTGTGTTGAAGAACCATCGGTGGCATCGGGCTGATTTCTGCTCTTTGGTCGGGTTGTTGTCTTTTTGACACATACCTCGTTTCCATTCTCAATTTTATTGTTGATACATCAGAAGCGTTATATAAAATGTTTCGATGACTAGTGAAATCCTTATAAGATGAACGATTTGTATTGAAACGAAAGAGATATGTTAAAAGCCTAGTCATAAAAATAAGGAAACGTTGTATGATTGCCAATCAAACATCTATCCACCAATGCTCAAATGACCAAACGATGTAAGCAAACATAGGTAACCGTACAGACGTCAATAGTTAGGACATATTACAATATTCCTTGTTCTTCAATGATAAGAGACTCAATAAGCATGATAAGACAATTGACTTATTAACCAAAGAGAGTGTATTTCATAATCGAGTGCATCATTAAAATAAACGTACTTTGTAGACTATTCTGGTTACAAGTCAGATTTCGATTACATGAGATTGTGTCATTACAACACACGGCACATTTAACGTGATGACCTTCTGATCTTCTTCCAAAAATAGAACCAATGCCTTGTAGACATATCTAAAAAGACAAAAGAAATTAAATTACATTATTATACAAACATTCAGTGTTCATAATAAAATTGAAGACAGAATGCCTTTATAATTCTCAATTAGTTTTCAGTTTTAAAAAACTGGTTTTTGACATCATAAGTTGTAAAAAAAATAATAGTGTAGTTAATGCCTAACCAACATGACCAATAGTTACGATATTTCATTTCATCTTGGTAAAATTGAATGCATTTGATTGATAAAAGTGAAAGTAATCTTTTTTGTTCTGGGGATATTTTAGATTAAATAGGTTTTACATTTTTGAAGGACAATTCATGACAGAAAAAAAGCCAATATAACCAATTGGTTTTTCAGCTAACAAAAGAAGGCTGCCATATGTTTGACAGCATACTTGTTATTGAGAATGGGGGAATAGTGTTGGAACACTGTTAGTTTAACTCGTGTACCTGTTATGTTAACTGGTTTGTTTATTTCTGTATGGTTGATTTATAAAGCAACTTCTAAAGAATAATATAAAGTTGATAACATTACGCTTTAACCTCCTATTCTACTTTAAACATGATGTGCATTTGCTTTTGGATTTTTAGATTACAAACTGGACCAATACATTTCACTTTAAGCACATAACTTAACCAGTTTACACTTAAACCGATCGGTCTTTGTATCATAAACAAGAAGTAATAAAATGCAATTCAATAATATACAAAGCAAATGTTATCGTTTCTTATGTGAAAATTTGTATTGCTTTCAAATGTTAATTGAATAAAATGATATTCATTTTGATTGTAAATCAAACAGTCTTCAAACGACACAAAAAAAACTAACGTAAAGTAAACCACACTGTCGTCTTGATTCTGAATTCTAACCAAAACAAATCTCAACAGAGACTCAAACATAATATATCCCTTGACACTGATTTTCTCAATGATCAAACGGTTATTTTTATCATTTAGGAGATTTCATGTAAAGGCTAGAATCAATGAAAACGTGTTGGAAGTAAAATAGTATTTTCAGACCACAATCTTCCCCTTTTTAATGAAGGGTACGTTAAACAAATATACAAAAGAAATAAAGTATATAGATTACAATACCTGTGGAACAGCACATCCATAATCAAACAGGGATTTACCAGATTCCGTGACGTAATAATGCATGGAACACACCTTTGATAAATGTAAAGTTTATCCTTAACATTGTTATCTTTTAGTATTCCTGGATATCAATATATGTGTGTGTCAACTAGAGTGTTTGTTTTATCTGTATTGGATCTACATTGATATTTATTAGGACACACATTCTTTAGTCGTTAATGAATACAGCTGAAGAAATAAAAACGAAAATGTGGACATTTGCCATAGCCAAAAGTAAAATAATAAAAATACAGAACTCCAATGAAAATTCAAAACGGAAAGTCCCTTATCAAATGGCAATATCAAAAGATAAAACACATCAAACGAATGGAAAACAACTAACATATTCCTATTTTGGTACATGCAATTCCTTATGTAGAAAAAGGTGCCATAAGCTTCCCTTAATGACATAACAGAATTCGACTTCTCAACACATTTTACACTTTTTATTGGCAACACGATGATTCAAAATTCAAGTGTTATCATTTTAAAAAGGCAGTTTTAATTTCAAACATTTCGTTCTTTTTTCAATTTGTAATGTCGAATAATCCTTCATGGCTATCATATGTTCAATACATGATCATACATTCTAGATATCATGATAAAAGTGTATGTTATCAAATGAAGTTACAATATGTGCATGAAGGCTACAGTCGAATATGTGTTCACATAAGTGTAAAGCATATTAAAATAAAATATAGAAATAACAAATATGGTTTAAAAGTTCGAATAAGTGACATTCTAAGTGCCTTTATTTGTTTAAGGTAAAACAAGGCATTAACAATCATATCTAAGAAACAATACATTAGTACTCACCTCATTGTGATCACATCTGATAGTGTGTTTACATTCATTAGAGGTTTCTACTCCTGAACATGAGCACATGTTTGTCCATATATCTCCTCATCTGAATAAATAAACCCATGCAAACAACACTTAATAACCCGGGTGTTAAAATCAAGTTAAAGCAACTGCAAAACAATCCTCTAGAAAAGTGACCATTTTTAGATTATTTGTGTGCATAACAATTGTTAATTACTGAAAACTGGATGATAAAATAATGACCTGCAGATGTCTTTTGGGAAGTTGCACCGTTTAGTTGTTGTCTCATTGGCATATACATGTAGGGATAATATTTCCTTTATTTATCTGATTTACAGAAGCCAATAGAAATTGCTTACCTTTACTAGCATTAAAATAGATGGTCCTATGAGCGTATCAAATGAAAGAGTTTTCCATTTATGTATCCTCTCAAATTAATAAACAAACGTTTGTGGATTTTCTCCGTCGTACTTTTATTTTATATATACCTGTTTGAAATAATAATATAACGGAAACACAGCAACACCAACGCTGTAAATATTATAATGTATTTTAATAAACTTCATTATGCTTCAATTTCTAATGTTCTTCTTATACTAGTACATATTAACTCTTAAACTTATACTTTTTCATCATTAATCAAACAAATAAACTTACCTCCAAAATTTGCTTCTGACACAAAGCCCTTACTGAAAATAGAAAGTGTAACAAAAATAATCAGGCGATTCATTTTTTCCAGATTGGTCCGTGTTGTATAACTTCTTTTGTGTATCTTATCTACTGCAATATCTCGTCCAACGCAGTATGTCAGAAATAAAAGGTCAATGTCAGTAGAATTACCTGAATGTTCTGCTTTATATAACAATTATTAAAGTACAAAATTGTTAGTTCGCTAGTACAAACACAAAACGATCAACAGTTTATCTATAGATGGAATTTCAAAGTTCATAAGTTGAACGGTTCCCAAGAAAGTGGTAACATAATTTAAGCCGAAAAAAAGGAAAACATGATATTAACAAAAGACGTTGTTTATATTTTGTTTAAAAGTTGTTCAAGATCACACGTTAGTATATAATGACTTATTTAAACATAAAGTGACATAATATTATTTGTTGTAGAGTGTGTGAGGCCCCCTTTAGATAAAAGGTTAAACATTATCATATTAAAAAGTAAAATCACAAAAATACTGAACTCCGAGGAAAATTCAAAAAGGAAAGTCCCCAATCAAATGCCAAAATAAAAAAAAAACAAACACATCAAACGTATGGATAAAAACTGTCATATTCCTGACTTGGTACAGGCATTTTCTTTTGTAGAAAATGGTGGATTGAACCTGGTTTTAAAGCTAGCTTAATCTCTCACTTGTATGACAGTCGCATCAAATTCCATTATATTGACAACGATGCGTGAACAAAAATAAAACAGACACAAAAGGTAAAAATGTCAAAAATAGGGGTACAGCAGTCAACATTGTGTTATCATCTTAATCACTTTAAAAACAAACAAATGTAACGAAGAAGCACAAAAAGGCATACATCAAATTTAACATCCTCATTTTGCTTATATTATACGTTTTTATTTATCTACGTAAAATCCACCCATAAAGGATGGAAGGTTTTAAGTACTTTAAAATTAAATTAAAGAGGAGATAGTTTTTGGAACGATTTGCTAATGCTTCCTGTATGCATTACAAATGCAAATAAATGTACTGACTGATTTTGTCCAGCAACATTCCCTATTTAATAATGAAAAAGAATTTAATATAAATTACCAACCCAATAGTCAGCACTTCTATGTTTAATATCATTGATATCTTTATTTGTTGTAAATTTACATTTTTATATTATTTACCTGTTATAAAAATGTTGAATTATTCGAAACACCAATGTTAACGACTCCCTCCCCACGGTCGATCTTTCATTTGACCAATCATGACATTACTCTTATACGACAGGAAAAACCTTAAAAAATGTGCATTATCTACAGCATAATTCACAGAGATTATACCATAATTTATAATTTTCTTTTAGATTTTAAGTCATAAGCAGAATCTAGATTATAAGTAATAAACATAGTAAAGATTATGAATCATAAACAGTGTTTAGATATAAGTTATAAACAAATTCATTGAGGATGAGAAAAGGAATGAAATTTGGTTTATTCATTCATTGAATTAAGCAAGTTTAGAAATAGAAAAGAATTATAAAAAAGGTTAAAAGTTCTGATTTAAAAAAAAAGGAGATTGGAATTTTTTTATTGTTCGAGGTTTGCAACCACGACATTTACGTTGGTTCAGATCTTTTCTTTTCTTACAAATGTATTGTTTAATCAATATAAACACATATAAAATACCAAGAGAATTTCTATAAATTTCTTGAATTCAAATAGAAGAAAAAATTATATGAATGAACTATTATAGATTATGCCATCCAGCACATACAAAGAAAAATATTCCCTTCAATCTGCCCTGACGCGTATTCACTATAGTAACCAACGAATCACCGCAAAGCAAAGACTAACAAAGTTAAAACACTATCTTCGAAAGCAAGATTAACAAGAAAATTTCATCAATACAGCAATAACAAAAGCAGTCAGCTTTACTATATGACCGGAGGGAAAGAATCGTCCGTAAAGAGTATAAATACACCGGAATAATTATATGTAGGTATGTACGTATTGAAATTGTTTTACATGCTATTAAAAATGAAATGTGGTTATATTGTTATGATATTGTAATTATCCTGTTTATTTATCCTGGACTAATTTGTTTTGTGTGGTCTTATGGTTGTTTACAAAATAATGTTATATTTGTGCAGTTTAGAAATCACTGGAACAATCATAGATACTGATGGAACGATTGAAACTTTCTATTTGACTTACATAATAATTCTGGAATGATCATAATCTATGATGCGTAATTTAAACTTCTACAATATTCTAGAAGTTTCCCTTCCACAGTTTTCGAGGAGCTTCCCTTCTACAGTGTTCTAGAAATTTCCATGACAACTATATATACAGACACCAAAATTAGACAGATCAGACATTAATATACTTGGAT